TCCATCGGGAAAACAACTTTTTTACACCTAATTGTTCATGCAAGATTATTTGTATTTGACTCATGCCAATGTCTAAAGTTGCCTGAATTTCGCGGTATGTCACATGTCGATCTTCCTCAATCAGCTTACGCACAGCATCAACGTTTTCTTGGGTGACTGCAGTTTTTGGACGACCTTGACGGGGATCATCACTGAGCTTGACACGTCCACGTTGAAACTCAGCAAACCAGCGATAAATTGTGGTTTTGGATGGGGCTTCATCACCAAATGCAGAAATCATCCGGTCAACACACTGTTTTTGTGTTAAACCACTTCGAAAGTCATAATAAATCATCGCTCTTGAATTTTCTCGAGTCAATTCCATTTTCTCAACGACTAAACAAGTTTGACAAAATCTCGTGACAAGACCGATAATCTTTTTTTTAAATAAATAAATGGTATTCGATTTTTAAAACCAAGGAGTTTTCAATTAAAAAGATTTTAATATGACAGGAACAGTGGAAATATTCCATTCCCGATACTTCTAGTGCAGCCTAGGTATTAAACCGACAGATATCTGTGGGATTGGATATTTTTGGAGAGACTATAAGAAATTACCTCATTAACGCTATTAAATACCTACCTAGTTTAATTTTTATTATTATTATTTATTTATTTATTCCGTAGATCATTTGGAGCCCTCTCTTTCTATCCGGTACGTTTCTTAGATTAATTGATGGAAAAAAATATGAAAAAAAGTACACAGTGTTATCGCTCAAAGCAATTTATTAGTGACTAACCAAGAAAAAGAAAAAGTACTTAGACTACAGAGCAACAAAAATTATAATCAGGTAGGTAGGTTAGTTAATAAGGGAGTTTGGAACCAATTTGAAAATCAGTATTAGGCTCGTGTACATCAACTATTCCCTGGGCACAGCCAAGTGCTGCCTAACGCTCAGTGTGCTTAGTGCGAGTTTTTTAACTTTCTCGATAGCGTAAAAGTTAGCTCATATTTGTATGGAATGGGATCGTTTGCCTACGTTTGCCGCTAGGGGCGCTGTTCCAACTGCTGACAAATTCTGGACTATTCGTTGTCCGTAATATTTTTATATTTGATGAAACGATGAACTCAGAAGTTCATTAACGACTACAATTAAAATAAAAACAGTATGTAATTAAAAAAAACGGGCTATAAAGATAATGCATTTCCTCAATTTAATTCATTTTATTTTATATATTTATTTTATACTTTTAAATGATTGCTTGAAATTAAACTTATTAAACTTATATGAAAACTGAGTCAATGGCCTCGAGTTTGAGAAAATTAACCAACATCTCATCATTTTTATTGTTTTTTGTGAATGAGGAACTACTGGGGTCCCGGAGGCTTTTCTAGTTTCACAAGGGCAGGTAGGCGAGCAAAAGCTCAGCCAGGAGGGATGAGATTTGCTAACAGCTGTCTGAGCGCCTCTAAAGGAAACCTAACAACTCAAGAGCAGCTGTTTCGCGAATGAATCTACTACCGAATCGGAATTCCGACCTGCTGAGGAGATCCGGCGAGAAACTCAGCGGTTTGATGTTTAGATAAGGTTGCACGTACGGGTACGGTAACCGGGGTCCCTAAGCCTGCTCCTAGTGAGAGCTAAAGACGTCTAATGTAAAGGTTATTGGATCTAATGGATCCGTAAGGATGTGTCAAGGGCATCGATGGTGACTGGCTCCTGCGTGATCAGGGTTTGTAGAGAAAAAAAAAAAAAAAAAAAAAAAAAAACATTTTGTAGGGATTGCAGGGTTTCGATGTGTGTGCGGGTCGCGTGAGCGAACACCAAACTCGCATAAGTCATGACTGGACAATACAAGGGCGAACAAAATCAGTAAAAAAAATCCACGCGGAGAGCTCTGAGGATTTATTTTAGGATGAACTCATCGTTTTCAATTTATCATAGCAACACTTGCCACGGGAATATAGTGCATAAGTACTACTTTGAACCACTGTGATCTTTTGCTTTGTATGATCTCCAGTCCTGTTTTCTGTGACCCTCTTCCATGCTTAAAAAGAATCCTAAACGGCTCGGCTGGACTTTCCTTGAGCATTGGTGATCGTATACCGTTAGATGGGCCGTATGCTCATCTGACTTCAAAGGCAAATAAAAAATAATCTAAAGTGGCTTACCTTTTGCTTCCGGATTTTAGGGAAAGTAAAAGAATTTTATTCGCATTAATTCTTTAATTGTAATTGTATGCAATAAACCTTGTTATTTTGTTTTACAGATTGGAAATAGAAACATTTACTTTGTACTACATAGGTACTGTTTTTTAGGGTTAATATTAATAAATGACAAATATTTACTTTTAAATTGAAGACAGTAGACAAAATGTATAAAATTATTGACAAATTACCATACAATTATCTTATTATCATTTAATCATCATCATGCTATTAATTTAAATTTAATTGTGTAATCTGCAACAGACCATGATAAAATATAATAGAATATACATATAACAAAAGCTAAAAATATAGGTATAAATTAAAACTAATCTATAAGATCACCGCGTGATGTATTTTATTAATTGACCACAAAACCGCCGAGGCACTAAACTACGCAGTCCAGTTTAATGAAATGAAAACCAAATATTCGCAATGCTTACATATTTAAACCAATCACAGCAAGAATATAAAAACTAGCTGTGTATATAAACTAGATAAAAAAGTATGAGAAACTATAATAAGTAGTTCTTCGAAGTTATAGTTTCCTGGTACTTTACTTCCCAAGAATAATTTTACGCGAGGCTCCAAAGTTTTGTCCAGACTGTGAGGCCAACTTATTTGTACCAGCCTGAAGACCGATGACGGACTCCCCAGCTCGAAGAACATCCTCGCTGAAGGCACGTTTGTTTTCTTCAGCAGGCTTGGGTCCGAGGAAGGGGCCGCGCCATTCCGGGTGTTTGTATGCCTGTAAATAGAATGATAATTTGATATAATTTTCTTATTTATTTCATTGTTTTGATGGGTGGACGAGCTCACAGCCCACCTGGTGTTAAGCGGTTACTGGAGTCCATAGACATCTACAACGTAAATGCGCCACCCACCTTGAGATATAAGTTTTAAGGTCTCAGTATAGTTACAACGGCTGCCCCACCCCTCAAACCGAAACGCATTACTGCTTCACGGCAGAAATAGGCGGGGTGGTGGTACCTACCCGTGCGGACTCACAAGAGGTCCTACCACCAGTAAGTCACAAGAGGTCCTATCACGGAAACGGATTGATTAAAATTTGAAATTTTCCCCAAACTAAACTAAATAGAGCATTGTGATAACGATAGTAAGCTGTACCTTTCATGCAGGAAACTCTATATTTTTTGTGTAATTATAAATGGTAAGGAGCATTCTAAATTTGCATGGATAAGTACCATCATACGACTCTGTTTATTTATATAGCGAAGCAGCCATGCGTTCAGGTTTGAAGGATTGGAACAGACGTTAAACTACACAGCTGAGACTTAGATATAATGTGGGTGATTAAAACAGCTTTGATCCATGAACGATAACCTTTAACTGTAATTTATTAGTTACTTTAACATTTTTTGTGGAGAAAAGTTTTCTCTAAAATGCAAAGACTTAAACTTACCGTTCTACCAATAGCAAAAATAGTCTGTGTGACTAATACGATATTCTTTTGATCCCACAAATCCGTAGTTTGGAAAAGGTCGACATCGGGCACACCATATTTGATGCAAGCCTTTTGGAATCTGAAAATGAATCGATTTGAAAATGAACAACATTCTTTGAAACAATTCATCAATGTCGACAATTAATATTTTTAAGAATACTCACTGGCTGATGTTATCCATGAACTTGTAGTCTCCCCCAGAGATGTTGACTTTAGGAATAATACCGGGTTGGAGTCTGTTCATCAACTTGCAAAGGATGATGCCGTCACGGAGAGCCAGCTCGTAGGGAAGGTCGGAAGGGAACCGCTCACCGATAACCGATTCAATCCACCGTTGAGCTTCTGCCTCTTTTTCTGGTTCGCGTTTACCAGCGCACTAAAACAAATGCATAACTCTTGACAATTTA